TTTAGCAACAGAAATTCATTCCTCACAGTTCTGGAGGCTGGGAAGTCCAAGATCAAGGTGTGAGCCGATTTGATGTCTGGTGAGTCTCCACCACATAACTTGCTTAGTTTCTCAGGTTCACAGCTGGAGGGGAATTTGCTTTAGGAGGAATCATACCTTGAGTCTTGCCCATACCTGATTTAGGTGATATTTAGAGGAGACTTTGGACTTAGACTTTAAAGTTGATGCTGGAATGAGTTAAGACTTTTGGGACTACTGGGATGGAATGAATGTATTGGGCATGCAAGAAGGACATGAATTTTAGAGGACCGGGGTAGACTGCTATAGACTGGAAGTGTGTGTCCCCTCAAAATTAATATGTTGAAACCAAACCTCCAATGTAATGGTATTAGGAGGTGAGGGCCTTTGATGGGTGATCAGGTTAAGAAGGCGGAGCCCTCATGAATGGAATTAGTGCCCTCACAAGAGCGATCCCAGAGAGCTCCCTCTCCCCTCCCACCATGTGAGCACACAGAAGGAAGATGGCCATCTATGAGCCAGGAAGAGGGCTCTCACTAGACACCAAATCTGCTGGCACTTTGATCTTGGACTTCCCTGCCTCCAGAAATTTCTATTTCTGTTTTTTAAAAAAGATTATTATTAAAAATATAGCTAACATACAATATTATACGAGCTTCAGGGGTACACCGTAGTTCAACATTTATAGACCTAAAGAAGTGATCACCATGATAAGTCCAGCAACCATCTGACGCCGTACTATGCTATCACAATATTATTGACTATATTCCCTATGCTGTACATTACATCCTCATGACTTATTTGTTTTATACCTGGAATTTGGACCATTCTCTTCCATGGCTGAGCAATATTCCATTGTATATATGTACCACCTCCTCTTTATCCATTCATCCATCCACATATACCCAGGCTGCCTCCACATCTTTGCCATTGTAAACAATGCTGCAATGAACACATGGATGCACATGTCCCTTCGAAGTAGCATTTTGCGTCTCTTTGGATAAATACCCAGAAGTGGAATTACTGGGTCCTTCTTTGTCTCTTCTAATAGCCTTTGTTTTAAAGTCTATTTTGTCTGGTATAAGTATGGCTACTCAGCTTTTTTGTTTGTTTGTATCCATTTTCATGAAATATCTTTTCCCATCACTTTAGTTTCCACCTGTGTGTGTGTGTGT